GAATCTGCAAATCATTCGCGAGAAGTCGAGAAAGTAAGAGACACTAATCTGGTCGGGAATGCCCGATTTTGGAGTTACCCTTGACTTTCAAAATAATGTAACTTTTTATTTTAATTTTTAGCATGAAGAACTGCAATTGCCATGGAGAACGAAGCATCACGCCTATTTTAAGATCGGGAAACGATAAGCGAGTCGTTAAGTTGGTGGATGCCGAGTCGCAGACACTGAGTACCGGCGACGTTGTCATTACCAAAATATTCTTTCAAGACGAACACGAGCGTGCCAAGGAGGCGGTGTTGGCCAACAGTAATGCGAACACCAATTCCCCGAAACGTTTGACCTCAACTTGAATTTGAGCTTTTCGACAAATTATGATTCCTAATTATAAAACACAGACATATGTATTATTTTGATGATGATGATGATGAAGATGATGAGACTCCCCAGTTGGATGTAAAAGACGGAGTGATTAACTCTTTTAAAAAATATGCAATAATTTTCCCTAACTAATTGAAAAGCAATATAATTTGTGCCTAAATGTTGAACATTGTATTAACAATATTTGCTATATAGTATATTATTTACTCCTATTTCAACTGTGTTAACATACATATAACAACCTATATATCTATATATATGTATATATACATATCTATTGATTTTGCTCACTAATTAATGGAGAAACGAAACTTTTTATTGTTACGCCGAATCACACTTCTCATCGTTAGATGATTTAGAATTTGTGTTGCATTCAGATTATTTAGCAATTTTTTGTTATTCAGTTACTATACTATACTATACTATATATATATTAATTGAAGACCTAGCGAACCAATCGATCTAAATCAAATTAACATTCGACGCTAGATGTGTTTTTATTCGGATGAGGCGAGTCTATGTATAAGAAACGTTGGACCAATATCTGTGTGTGAAATCGAAAAGCCTTTATCTTTTAACGATTTGTAACGGTTTTCAATACCCTTGTCGCCATATCAAAACGGAGAACTTTGTATTTGTTGACTTGCACTTGCAATCAGAAACACGTTAATCCAACATAATTTTAGTCGAACTCAAACCGCATAATCAAAACTTCTTAACCTATTAACACAACAAGCGTAGTCAATCTAAGTAAATGATATTAAATTGTAAAGAGAACATATTGAAATTGTACGATTATATAAAACATGCCTAATTAAATAAATTTGTAAAATTGTATTATACACACTTAATCAAGAGATGCATTAAGACAACATTCGAGTCTAACTTTTATTCCTATCAAGCTTAGCAATGGATTTATGTCTGAGAGCCAAATGCTTCATTGAAAGCAGCCAGCAGCAAATCTATGCAGGAGTCAGCGAATATGACCGGAGTATTGCAGTAAGGATACACAGGGATCAACATCAACCATCAAACGGAAGTCGGAGGCTTTTAAGCACTTGCTCAAGAATCTGTTAGCTTAATATAAAAAAATGGTTTTTGCTTCGGTTTTTTTTATTTTTTATTTTTTTTTATTTAACATCAAACATCAAGAGGCTTAAAACATTGATTTAGTTTGTGCATAAATAAGATTCATTCTTTGTAAACATATATAAAGATATATATTTATATGTATATATACAAATATATATATATGAATATTAATATATATATATTAATCTTGTTAGTATTATTTATTGATCATTATATGTTAAGCAAATTTTGTCAAGAGCTGTAATTTTGTCTAAATCAGTCAGGTTAAATTGATTTTTTGTCACATAAATATTTTCTTTGCATTGAGCTAAATTCATTTGTTAGTATTTTTTAAAGAATTATTTCCTCTATTATTTATATAGTACTATTTTTGGATTATCCTAGACATCGAGCAGAATATTTTGGTTAGCATATTGAACATTTAAGTTTTAATCTCATTGAACAATCAAAATTTGATTGTTGAGTAAATTATTTTAAACATTTAAATTCGTGTTTTCATTTGTGTTTATTATCATTTTACTTAGTGGTTATATTAATGCTATATTTATTAATGCTAGTTAATATATATGTGTATGCTAAAATCTAAGTACTTATTAGCTTACAAAAAGCTATTACTATTATTATTACCTATTATTATTACTATTGGTAAAAATTATAAGCGAAATGTATCAAATTAATTTTTAAATAAAAAATTTAATAATTAAATACACTAAAAAATGGCGTTTTATTTCTATATATACCAAAAAAATACTAACTAAATTTCTTATTTTCGAGACAAAGATTTTTCATGTCAAGCTCGGCTGAATACCAGGCGAACAGAAAAGCCAGCAAGAAGACAAAGAATCGACAGTTGCAAAAATACATTGCATACTTTTCGGCAGCGCATTTTATTCCAGCCAATCAGAAGCAAGGCCATAAAAACTCCGTTATTGTATGTATGCATAAATATATATATATAAGGATATATGCATGTACATCCATATATATACAAAAATGGACTACATACATACAAATTTGCTAAAAGTCAAGCCGTTATTGCTTAAGATTTGGTTGTCCAGCTCGGTTAAACACCAGGCGAACAGAAATGCCAGCAAGTAAGCAAAACAATGTTAGACATTTTGCAGTGCATACTTTTAGGAGCGCCCATTTTAATAAATTTTCATTTAATCAATTGTCAACTCGTAGCCTCGCAGGGTTACTGCCTATGGCATGATACTGCAAATAGAAATTCGAGTAGTTTGTATGAGTGAACTTACATTTAGAGCTCGAATGTTAAATAATGTTAAATTTTATATTTTAAGACTATAATATGTATATAAATATGTACTTATATATTTATAAACGCAGAATTGCACACAACCCTTTGCCAGCAAATATTACACAACTCAAGCGTATTGCAAACAGACAAACTCAGTCAGTCAATCAGCAAATAAATGTCAGTCAAGCGAAATATAAAATAGCACCAACTACATATGCAAAGCCAGTTCTGTTCTTGAAATCAGTTTTATAGATTTTGCAACAATAAATATGAAAATAGAAGTAGAATAGAGCTAACTTTAATTAAACTTTAGGATTGGACAGATATTCGCAATTGAATTTGTATTAAGGAAGGGTTGTATCAAGCCAAGTTTGTATTACAAGAAATATTCATTCATGTGAAAATATAGAAAAAACTCAAGAAATCCAGTTTCTAAAAAGAAAAATAAATTAAAATAGTAATATTATTTCTTCCCCCACAATACTTCAATGTATATGTAGACAGATTATCCTATTATAATTAACCTAGCTAGTTAATATTTAGTGTCTTACAGCCTTCTCGCATATTTTGAGCTTTGTAAATACAGTTTGATTAGACATACGAGCATCTTTCACCTCTGAGTTGCACTTTTCGTTCCATTTATGCAAAATGATAGAAGCAAAACAAGATGAAATCTTTGTAGGACTTATCAACTAGTTGCAGAAGTATTCATATGTACAAAATCTTATATCAAATATATATATATGTCCCATTTGTATGCAAGGGTATGCGTTTCTCTATATATATATTTGTTAAAATCACATCTTTGAATGGTATTTAGCTCGTTAGCTTTATGTACAATTTGTTCTAACTCGCATAAAACTACGTTTAACTTATTGCCTATGGGCCTAATCATAATGGTAATCCTATGATCCTGTAAGTTACTAATGTATTCGTTTTCGGGAAACCTTTTTAAAACAATTAATTACTCCTTTACGGCTGTACACTTAAGCATCTATCTTAACTACATATTAATGAAATCATTAAATAAACTTGCAAATGGGCATATCATGTATCATATGGTATATATGCTAGATATCTATTTCACAGTATGACACAGTATGGATAAAGTTGATCTCCATCAAATGCCTATCCAATATATATTCATTCAGCAAACCTTGATCATCTACCAGGGAGTCAAATTGACTTTAGGAGCTACACAATTTAGTCCAACAATAAAAACTAAAAACTAAATTGATTTTATATGATTTCATATTATTGCTACAAATATTTCTTAGAATTCACTTTATTTACTTTCATACTTTTTCTTCCTCTTGCAAATTAACAAGTAAGCAAACTCTAGCCGGGAATGCCCGACTAAACGATATCGGAGCTACAGCCGAGTAGCATTTTCACTTTGCTTGGGATTCTTTAAATATCATATAAAAATTGCACACATTGAAAATCAAAATGAAAATGATTTCTAGAGCTTCAGAGATGGAATAGATAGATTGAACGTATTTTTGGGCTACATTGACAAGGAAATATCGATTAAATGAAACAAAGTTGATTTTATGCTAGATATCTATTTCACAGTATGACACAGTATGGATAAAGTTGATCTCCATCAAATGCCTATCCAATATATATTCATTCAGCAAACCTTGATCATCTACCAGGGAGTCAAATTGACTTTAGGAGCTACACAATTTAGTCCAACAATAAAAACTAAAAACTAAATTGATTTTATATGATTTCATATTATTGCTACAAATATTTCTTAGAATTCACTTTATTTACTTTCATACTTTTTCTTCCTCTTGCAAATTAACAAGTAAGCAAACTCTAGCCGGGAATGCCCGACTAAACGATATCGGAGCTACAGCCGAGTAGCATTTTCACTTTGCTTGGGATTCTTTAAATATCATATAAAAATTGCACACATTGAAAATCAAAATGAAAATGATTTCTAGAGCTTCAGAGATGGAATAGATAGATTGAACGTATTTTTGGGCTACATTGACAAGGAAATATCGATTAAATGAAACAAAGTTGATTTAAGCGTGCGATAAGGACGCCGACTTCAAGTCTTCAGGCTCTTGTAATTCAGAGATCAACATATACATTCAGACAGAAAAACAGACAGACGTATAAAGCGCCGTAGTCTCGGCTGTTATCATGATCAAGAATATATGTATGTATGTATATACTATTTAGGTTTGGTAATGCCTTCCTTTAAAATGTGAATATTTAAAAAAAAAATATACCCTGCACTTCCATTTTCAATGGGTATAAACAGGTATAAACATCAATATATCCTTAGCTTATCAATATATGTATTATAATTATTTCTTACAGCTTATAGTTCTTGAAGCGTTCAGTACAACCATCAAATAAATCGCAACCTATATCGTACAATATAAGAGTTCTTTCTGTAAATATGTATATATGTTAATTTACGTATATATATATTATAAATTTGATTCATTCCTATGATAATTAAGATGAAACACTTGTTTCATCAAATCCATTTGCTCTCCATTTGTTAATGATTTATCATTATTCATTTTATTGTATATTCAAATATTCGTATATATTTTCATTTATATTTTGTATCTTTGCTAAACATTCACATATTTTTAGTACACCTTTCAATACATACCTTGGGATTATTAGGAATTAAGAATACAAATATATATATTCGAGTTGAGTAGACATTGAATGCCTACGCAATTTTTAAATGTGCTTTTCACATGACAGTCAGTAAATATGTTATTTCTTGCTTTTGATTTTTAAATATTATCAAAATATAATATTTTGATTTTAGTTCTTTGGAAGAAAAGCTCTAACAGTTCACCACTTTGATATATCGGAATTTAAAACAACTTAAGTTAAAAGAGAAAGAAAAGCAAATTTGTAATTAAAATAAAAGTGTATTTATTTCACTAAAAATGTTTAACAAAACATAATACATATGTACATCGATCGATTGCTGCTTTAAGGACTTTAAGGAAACAGAAGATGAAGGAGAAACGAAATTTGGAAACTCTTAAGCAAGAGAGTGTGATTTATCAGATTTATCCTACACATTATTCAGATTTAGTTTATGGAACATCTAATATCATAATAATTTGCAGACATTTACGAATTGGATTACATTTATTATATAGTTGATTTGAAGACAGACTGAAGCTATTGTAACTATTTAGACTGTTCTTTTAGCGCTCTCTTTTCGAATTACAAAAACTCCTTTTGCCAACTCTCAATGAGCAGACTTTTAATATGTATACAGATATATATATACAAACATGTATATTTATATGGTATATGCATGCACTTTGTTTTCTTTTTATGTGTACGTATTTGTATATATATATATATCTTTAATCACTTAATGAGATCAAGTCATATAGCGCATAATCTCGCGCAAAGCATAGAGTAATTCGGCCTGGTTGCGGGCTTCCATTATCATTAGATTAACATGAACCTGCAAGCAGAAGAAGTTTACATATAAATAAGTAATTATTTAAGTGCTCTAGTTGAGGCTAGCCGACTAGCAGATACCCGCTACTCAAGCATATGCCACGTGTACACGCCCGCTTGAGCTCTTATATGTATTTATATGTATTTATTCTTTTGGAGTTATACGGATGGACGTGCTTAATTAGGACTGCATCAATATACCCACAAGCAATGAATGCGGAGTATATCGAGTAAAAAGTTTTCATTTAATCACCTTTTCGCTGTCGAGCAGCTCGACGAGCACACTATCGTAATCCTTGGTAGTAATGCGCTCTGGAAAACAACAGGCTGTCTTTATAAACATTTTCAGCGGACGCACAAGCAGCTGGGGAGTGAGAGAAACCAAAATAAGTATAACAGCACTTCAGTCAAATTGGCAGAGTCGCCACTCACCTGATTGACTTCGCCGTAGTCGTAGTCATCGTGGCGTATGCCAAATATGCACTGGATATAGTTCCAGATGGCACGACGGAACTTCGATGTATCCACGTTCTTAATGCCGCCCATGGTGAAATAGGTCAAGTTGTAGGCAGCCCGGAACTTGTCGTCCAGAAAGGTGCCCACATCATGATACAAGCTGATCGAATAGGAAATCACTTGTATTATATAGGAATTCTTTAGAGCTGTCATCTGCCATTACTTACCCCTCCACTAGGGAGTAGCCGTGATCCTCCCAGGAATAGTCCTGTATGCGAAATGTGTTTATGTTCTCGGCTCCGCGACGGGCAAAGTCCTGGTACGTAAAGGCCGCATCGTCGACATAATGCGATATGATGGGCGGCAGGGCGACTGTTACTTCGGGGGGCGTGGCAGCTGCCAGCTCAGCTGTCTGCAGCTCAACGCTCTTAAAGCGATTACTTAGCTCGGCCTCACTGCACTCGTCCTGGTTCTGCGAAAGCACCTTCATGCGCTCCATTACGGCCTCCACACAGATACCAAAATGAATTTGCGGTTGCGGCTGCGGCTGCTGCTGTGCGGTAGCTGCAAATTGAAGCGAGTAAACATGTGAGTCTTTGTCAAACGTACACTCAGCGAAATGAAAACAACTACAATTAATTTAAATCCAATTAAATTGTCAACAAAATCAGAAACAATTCCTGCGGCTAGTCTCAGCCTCCTCATATTGATATGTTGGACGATCGACGCAGACCGCGCTGCGTTTAATATCTGCTAGCAAATGGCAACGGCATCTGCATAGGTGCGACTGAGACAGATAGCGTTCGCCCTGTTAAGCGCCAATTGCAAGCCTTGGAGCGACATTTGCATTTGAGTACGCGAGGGAGGGAGACAGACAGACAGTGTAGGCAGGAATAGCAACTTGTTGCGAAGCATAACGGATAACGGCAACAATGCTCGCACTTGCTAAGCTGCGCTTTGCAAAAAGAAGAGTAAACGAGAAGACATCAGTCTGCCGCTGCCTTGACTCTCTCCACAGTCTATTTATAGAGTCAGATATGAAATGAAAGCGAAGTCTCTATTGCGCACTCAGTTTGCTTGGTAAATGCAGAAATGAATAGCTTTGCTTTTAGAAGGCGACATTATGTCTCTCTGTCTGGCTGTTACCAGGCAGCTCTATTCATTTACAGCACTCCGATTGCATATCAGCAAGGGTATTTATTCTTCGACATTGCAAAGATAACGAACTGTATGTGTATGTGCATGTGTGTGTGTGCGTATTCTTACCCAAATAGTGTTGGCCGAAACTGTTGTTGGCTGCGCTGCCTTTGTCATTGTTGTTGTCCATTGTATTATTATAATCTGGCTTTGTATTGTTGCCGCCGCCGCCAACGCTGCTGCCAACACCACTGCTCACAGCAGCAGAGCCACCGCCGCCGCCGCCACTGCTGCTGCTATTGTTCAGTGATATCTCCCCTAGAACGTTTTTCTGTTGTTGCTGTTGTTCCTGCTGTTGCTTCTGCTGCTGCTGCTGTTGTTGTTGCTGCTGCTGCTGTTGCTGGTGAACGGGGCTGGCTGTGGTTTGGCTTGTATCATCAAGCTTCGGCGACTGCACTTGCACCTGCAGCTGCGACTGCGACTGCATCGACACGGGCGCACCTTTCAATTTGGGACTAGACAAACCATCGAGCTTTTGTGTGAGACCGCAGGAGAACACAAATGACGAGAGCGAATGGAAATGCGATAGCAAGACCATCGCATGCACCACCTCAGACAAAGACCAGCTATTTCTACCTTTGGTCAGGCGCTGCAAATGCAAAAGTCATTAACTATTTATATATCTTCCTCCTTCCCTCGCTCGCTTTTTCTACATCTCTGCTAAGTGCAAAGATGCCTTACCTCAATATGCTCCTTGCGCAGCAGCCAGGGACGATGGGCTAATATTTTATTTATTTCATATATGGCACGTAATTTGGCGGGTATATAATCCAAGCCATTTAGCCACTCCCTATTGCCGCCCTGATTAATAAACTCCTTCTCGTACCGCTTTACCAGGTAGGGGCACTGATGCCGTGCAGCAGCCTGCAAAAAATAAATATATATATATGTTTAATCAAACTTTGCAATTGTTGCAATCGCACAGCAATCAAGTATACAGACGTATGTAGGATATATCTAAAGCAAACACTTTCACAGTCTAATGAAATCTATTGTTAAAGCCCATTAAAAGTGCCTGGGAGAGCATTAACACCTGCAAATGTGCTAAAAATACATTTCTCACTGCGTGTGTCCCAAAATACGTTTTGTTTTTTACTCATTTATTTTTATATTTTTTATTTCTGCTGCGTCATTAATTCAGCTTTGCGTATCACAATATTTTATATTCATCAAATTTACCACGCACAATATATTTTCACCAAAATGTACTAATGAGTCGTTGACCCCATTTGATAAATATATCACTAAATTTCTATTATTTTATACAAAGTGTCTCGGAAAAGATTTTATAAATACATACATCGTTCGTACCATGAGCAAGTGTAAATTGATCGCTGATGTACCATTCCTAACATCTAACAACATACAACCTTCTATCACTTCTTAAGTGTACCAATATGTCTTTGAACATATTTTAACATAAAGAGATGTATACTGTGTGAATTTGTCGATTTGTTGCTGTGTTTATCATTTGTAGGAAAATAAAAAGTCAAAGACCCAGAACTCAAATACTCATATCTAATCTTGTTTACGACAGTTGCCATGCATGTACAAATCTATACATTAGATATTTGTGAGGGACTCAGGAATGTAAAAAGGTACAAAAAATTTATTTAATATAAGCAATCTTTCTGAGCAGCAGAAATAAAATCCATTTATTAATTGCCTTCTGCAGTGAATGTCAAGTGAAAGTCTAGAGCCGAGAGCCCAAAGGAAACAAAAAACAAAGCTCATACCTTGGATCCTTTGTTAAAGCATTTTACATATGCCTCATAGCCGTATCAGTATATCGCATTTTTTAACAGTGGGAAGAAAAATGAAGAAGGAAAAAAAGATGTAAAAGAGCTCGACACGGGAGTGCCTGACTGTCAAACGCTCACTCGCCTTTTAGATTTTGAGGTAGTATTTTCAAATATTAATATATCAGTAAAAGTATAGGTATTCCCCGATAATAAGAAAATGCAAAAAGTTAAACACTTGATGCCTACTTCGCACTTGCTCAATACATTTGCACAGAACAGATAGACCCGACTATTACGTCTGCTTAAAATCCAGGGTATAACAAGCAGCTCAAAAAATTAAAAGCTCAAACAACTTCGTAAGGAAAATTGTTGCAACAAATTGGTCAGATGCTTCTCTGGGTCTGTGAAGAACTTTACAGTTATCGTTTTTAATAACTGAAAGACTGCGAGAGGGTGTGTGTATATATATCTACGATCTGTGTGTGAGTGTGTGTGTGGGTGGGTGGGCGTAAATTTGCAATCGGGTCTACAATTCACCAGTTGTTGCTGTTGTTGTCAGTGAAAAGTAGAAAAATTAATTGTGCCATAAATCAATTTTAATTACGATGTTGTTCATAAAATTGTTTCTATTTATAAATTTGCTCTGCCCCTTTGGCTGTTTACCAATTGTATTTCAATTGTATCAAAACAAAAAATGCAACTAGGCACAATATAAAAGATTCACAGTCACATTATATATGTGATAAATAAATATACTTATATATACATTGGCAAGTTTCTATATAATTTAATACGATTGTAGCTCGCTCAACTTTAGAGACAAACTGTAAAATAAAATTGACTTTGCTTGCTTTCGTTCAAAGTGAAGCAAATCGGCTTTGCCTCTACCTGAGAGCAAACACTTTCGAGCATGCATGTGTGTGTGCGTGCGTATGTGTGCATGTGTGTGTGTGACTGCAAATGTTATCATCAATAATAAAATATCCGCAATTGTTTTTACATTTTCCTTTCAGTGCTTCAGCTGAAAAAGAAGCTTTGCCCAAATGGGCTCACACACATATATATTATTTATGGCAGGTCTGCCTGGCCACAGAAGAACATTTTCCGAGCTCACTTTTGTTCAAATTCCAACCGAAAAAGAATTTTTCATAGCTCTACCAAACCGTAAATCAGGCCAACAAATTTTAGTTGAAGCTGCTTATATGATGCACAATTAAAATGCTTCACGTATGCTACATGAGGCTGCAGCTTGCTGTAATGTTCTAGTTATCAATTATCTCTAAAGTCCCATTAGTGCTGTTATTTC